CTCCTTCGCCTGAAGCAAAGGGTCTAAACCTTTCCTCGGCCTCTGAGGACCCGGGGGCAACGCTATTTATCAGCCTGCTCGCTGATCTCCGCTGTCATTTGACGCTAAACGAGCGCTACATCGATCGGAGCGACCTGCTGGCGGCTCTGGTGACGCCGTGCGGCTGCGGCGGCGCAGGGCGCAACGCGACGTTTCTGTTTTTTTCCGCTGCCGTTCCTCCTCACAGCGGCTCTAACTGACGGGAGATCCACCATGGAGACCAAACCGGTCATCACCTGCCTTAAAACCCTGCTCATCGTCTACTCATTCGTCTTCTGGGTACGTAATCGATGCCGGGTTTTTTTCGTTTGTTTGTTTTTTTTAATGATTTTTTTCATCCTAACCTTTGCGGTGAATTGACGCGCGGATTGTGTTTTTGTTGTGCGTGATGAAGGGCTGGACAGAGGCGGCAGCAGCAGCAGCATCATCGACGGATTCATGCTGTTGTTTGAATAAATGATCGACTCGGGCGGATTAACGCGTTTAAGTGTGATTTCTCTTCACATTTGATCGTGTGTTCGTGTCTGAGCTGGAGTCCAGGCTGCACATATCTCTGCTGCTGGGCGTCAGTGCGTAAAAATATCCCACACAGCATCATGGTTGTTGTCAGGATGTTAACATCACCGCAATGATTTAAGTGATGAGAGCGACGTTAAGGGCCTAGTGGGGTTGATGGAGGCCGTTTAAAGCCTGTTTTCTGGCCACATTCTCTACATTTTGGTTGCTATAGATTCTTAAAGGGACCCTGCCCCCATGTACATGTATAGATGGACTCCACTTGCACACCAACTGTGCTGGAATGCTGTATTTTACTCACATATCTCTACTTCAGCACATCTCAAGAGGAAGTATTATGGATTTATCTGACAGCTATTGATAGTGATTCCATGTCAGATTCAAATGTTCGCTCATAACTGTTGCATTTTTAAAGAATAAAACAGCAAAATGTATGTAAAGTCACTAAAAAATGTTTGGATCGGCTGAATTGTGGTTTATGTTAGTGCAGGCAAGCATCAGATTTACATAAGCTATCCAAAATGAGTGCTGCATTTAACTTTAATTGCTGTTTATTAATAATAATAATCAGATTTTTCTTAAGTATAAGTTTAAATGCAAGATTCCGACTTGTTAATGTCATTTGACTGCTTGTTTTTCAGTGTCTCCTAAGTTGTCATGAATTCATTGTTGCTGTTATTACAGTCCAAGTATTGCTCTGTCTCACTAAATATAGATATAAATGCAACACCAGTACCCCGGCAGTGTTGGGAGGCGTAGTTTATTCCAGTACCACACTGTAAAATACTCTACTACAAGTGAACTTTAAACAGAAAAGTGAAGACTTTCATCGTTTGTTTTACTACTGGATTGATATAATTGCTGGAGGAACATTTATATGCATTTTATGTTTATATTAAGTGACTAAATTTAGTGTATAAAATGTATTTTATATGCTCGTTGTGAGTTTTTAAAAATAGCTTTATAGTGCTGTAGCTGCAAAAAGAATATAAAAACATACATTTGCAGAAATTAAATGCTCAGTTACATTAGACTGAAAAACACTGTCTTTAAACCATGTTATGTACTTTGAATACATAACTGCTTACTTTCATATGTAGGTGATGTTGAGAGTACTACTTTCTTTGTTGACTCCTTTTGTGACACTTGGTCGTGTGAAATACTGTAAAATGCAGCTCTGTACTGAAGGCAGAGCTAATCAGTAACTCATCTACCAAACATTTTTACAGTTCATTTATCAGATAATAGATCCTAATCAGGGCTGCAAGGTGGCCAGTGGTTAGCGTCATTGCCTCACAGCGAGAAGGTCGCCGGTTCGTGTCCTGGTGAGGACACCCGGGATCTTTCTGCGTGGAGTTTGCATGTTCTCCCCGTGCAGCGTAGGTTCTCTCTGGGTTTTCCGGCTTCCTCCCACACAGTCTGAAAACATGTTGAGGTTAATTGATGAATGTGAGTGTGCTTGGTTGTCTGTCTCTAAGTGTAGCCCTGTGATAGACTGGTGACCTGTCCGGGGTGTCCCCTGCCTTCGCCCTGAGTCAGCTGGGATAGGCTCCAGCCCCCCGCAACCCTAGTGAGGATGAAGCGGTGTGTAGATAATGGATGGATGGATGAGTCTACCCTGGCTTGAGATTGGACGAGGAAACAAGAAATGAAGACGGATGACTGTGGGAACTTTTAGGTTTCAGAATGTCCCAAGATGCACTGCTGTAAGAATCTAGACTGGTTTAGGATTCTCGAATGCTTTTTGATTCTAGAATGTTGTAAGATTCTGGGTTGCTGCAAGATTCTGAAATGCTTTCGGATCTTAGCTTTAGGAATCCCCCGCAACCCTCGTAAGGATTAAGCGGTGTATAGATGATGGATGGATGGAGTTCCAAATCAGCACCACAGCTTTCTAAAGCCTAAGATGAAGTATAAACAAGCCTTTTTATTTTGTCCAACCAGCAGTCAACAACCCAAAGACATTCAGTTTACTGTTATGTAAGAGAAGCAAAAAGCAGCTGGAAAAAAAAAAAAGAGAAAAAAGAAGGAAGCTAGAACCAGAGCTGCTGGTTTGGTATTTTTTACTCTTCTCTCAATTTGACTAAATGATGTAATTGAGGATGATTGCTTCCACTCTAAAATGCTTGACCTAAAACGTTCAGTTACTGTTGAAATTAGGCTACTTTAGTGGTTTTGTTGTTTACCATCCTTTCAAGGCTGTGCTTTGTGGCGGCGGTGTTGTGTTATACATCTCTAGGTTGGAATTAGAGCCTGTTTTCACCATCATTAATATGTTAGTTGTTGTCTTAATGAAGCAATGGTGCTCAAGATGTTAAAAGAAATAGTGTTAAAAGCCCGACATCTTTAGCTGACATCCTCAAACTGCTGGTTTTGTGTGACCAACAATCCCAAAACATAAGAATATTCAGTTCATTATCACGTCAAACAAGGTAAATATGCAAACCCTCATCTTTAGGATGCAGAATCCACAGAATTGCAGACATTTTTGTTTGATAAATGACTTAAATAGTTTCTAATATTTTATCCACTAAGGACAGACAGATGTAGTTGCAACATTTGGACCTGCTAGATCTGCATCAGGCAAACATTTGTATGAACAATAAGCAGGTTTGGGCTGCAGGGTGGTCGGTGGGTAGCACCGTTGCCTCGCAGCAAGAAGGTCACCTGTTCGCGTCCCGGTGAGGACACCCAGGATCTTTCTGCGTAGAGTTTGCATGTTCTCCCGGTGCAGCATGGGTTCCCTTTGGGTTCTCCAGCTTCCTCCCACAAGATCCAAACACATATTGAGGTTTATTGGTGATTCTAAATTGTCCATAGGTGTGAATGTGAGTGTGCTTGGTTGTCTGTCTCTAAGTGTAGCCCTGTGATAGACTGGTGACCTGTCCAGGGTGTCCTCTGCCTTCACCCTGAGTCAGCTGGGATAGACTCCAGCCCCCTAGTGAGGACTAAGCGGTGTATAGATAATGGGTAGATGGATGAAATAAGCAGGTTTTATATACAGAGCAGCATCATTTATAATTTGCATAATCTGAAAAAACACCAACTGATATGAAGACTAACGTTCTGGGAGTTTGCATCCTTCTCCCTGTGTGCACCTTCTTCTTCTTCTTCTTCTTCTTCTTCTTCTTCTTCTTCTTCTTCTTCTTCTTGATGTTTCGTTCTTTTAACATGCTTCAAAACAGAAAAGCAAAACCACACCACACCAAACAAACACTCATATTTTACCAGGGACTTGAATCAATACTTCTGGAGGATTTTTCACCAACTGTCTCAAACAGCAAATCCTCACTCTGATTTGAATAATGCAAAAAAATAAAAATATAGAAAAAAGTTTGCAATGCTAAGCAAGCACTATATACCAGCACTAATTCCAAGAATAGATTCTGCCCAGTTGGGATTATTGTAATAATGGAAACCACCCACATTTTGGGATAAATTAAATTGAGATTAACTTGTGTTTGGTTTGGATTCGCTTTTGTTTACCTTTTGATTACCGACCGAGTCTTCAAACATTATTTTTGCAACCGAGCAAGACGCAATAGGAATATTAACCAAGCTAAACGCAACGCTGTGTGACTGAATTTACTACAGTTTTGGCAATAATTACTTGTTATAGGCTCATTTCTGTCTGTTAGTACAACCAGGGGAGGGATTATCTAATAAGAGCATGTAGAGGAGATTTATCTGTCTATAATGTGTTTAGGGCCTGAAGAGGAGTTGCTCTGCTTCTCTTCACATTCACCCTGAACTGTAGGGAGTGAAAATAGCCTCAATGCTGCTGTTTGCTCTGAAATAAAAGCTGCATTAACCCTATAATTGCAGAATAAAGCTAAGATCAGCCCCTCGGTGGAGCCATGGAGGGCTTAAGAGGAGCCGTGCTGTGGATCTTCCTGTACCGGTGTCACGGATATGAAGCGTTATATTTAGTCTGGATTGGATGGTGTTTTAGCGCTTCTGTACATCTGCAGCATCAGGTTTCGGGGCCGTTCAAAGTGCACAAGTAGTCTCACAGCTCAGTGGGTCTCCGCGGAGAGAGGGCGCTGGCACCGAGCTGCCTCCATGTCAGGCCTCGGTTTCACTGTCAGCAGCTTGTCGCGGCAAATAATGTCTCGAGTGTGAAGAGCCGCGTCGCCGTACTTTAAACACACACACACACACACTGAGGACGCGGAATGCAGAGCAGGTGGCGGAGTCTGTGTTGTGTCCTCGCCAGCATATTTTGTCATCGCACCTTCTGTTTCTTTATTAGGCCGAGGGAGGAGGAGGAGGAGGAGGAGGAGGGTGACCTGTTTTAAACTCGGTGCTGTAACCAGGGTGGCCGGCCGGGCATTGAATTTCAAACAAAACGTGCGGGGTGGGGGGAGGTTTGCTGAGGGAAGGAGCGCCTGTAGCTGTTTGGAATTCAGCAGCAGAAGTCTACGAGTCTACATGATTTTCCCCCTCGCTTCTTGGACTTGATTTCCCAGGTGGCTTCAAAATTAACACTTTAGCGATGACAAGATGATCCTTTAGCTGTGCGGCGGCAGCTCTTTGGGGGTGAGACATTTTGTCACCGATGATGCAGGCCTTAAAAAGCGCCTCATCGCGAGGAAGCATCTCTGAAATGACAGTCTGTTAGAAATCACCGTTAATAGAAACAGTACGTATCATTACCGACAAATGCAATCGTCAGTTCGGCTGGGTTTGAGCTGAAAAGAACGAATCACTCCTATTAAGTCGTATTACAATACAAAGGGGTTGCTTGATCTGACAGTTTAATAATAGATTTGTCACTTTTTTTGCTGTATCGTTGATACTGCTGGATCTGTTCATATTTCTGCTTGTCAAGACTTTCAGCAGTGACCAACGTTTTTCTACTTTGATATGTCACATGGCACGTTTTTTTAAAAAACGGATTTATGTGATTTGAATTCTGGGCTGCAAGGTGACTGTTAGCACCATCGCCTCGCACCTAGAAGGTCACCTGGGATCTCTCTGTGTGGAGTTCTCTCTTCTTTCTGGGTTCTCCGGCTTTCTCCCACAGTTGAGGTTAATTGGTGATTCTAAATTGTCCGTAGGTGTGAAGTGTGCTTGGTTGTCTGTCTCTAAGTGTAGCCCTGTGATAGACTGGTGACCTGTCCAGGGTGTCCCCTGCCTTCACCCTGAATCAGCTGGGATAAACTCCAGCCCCCCCCGTGACCCTAGTGAGGATTAAGCATAGGTCATGGACGGATGGATGGATGTGAATTCTTTCCGTGGCCCAAAGATGTAAAGTTATCCAGTATTTCATTAGAGAAAAAAAAAAGCAAACCCCAGCACAAAACAGATAATGTGCCGTCCACTTGGCCTTTTGCGGGCAATGTTGCGAATCAATGACCGCAACTGCTTTATGGTGATATTGGATTTTGAAATGATTTTTGCATCAGTGAAGTGATGAAGTGCACTTATTTGTCAGGTGTTTGATTTGAAGCATTAGCCATAAACAACATCCATCCATGAACTATCCACCGACGCTTTCTCAACTGAAACGCCACCTCGTTGATAGATGATTATCGCGTTGTAATGGTGGAAGATTTTCTCTGTTTGCAGCAGGCCTAAAATCTTTCACAGTAAGGAACGAAAGGCAGCAGTGTATTCCTCCCAAACTAAAAAAAAACTAAAATAGTTTTCAGCGTACAGTTAGAGCCACTCGGAGCATGAAAAGATATATACGTCAATGATCTATTTTGTATAATTTGTTTTGCCAAGGATGACTACTATTGCTGTATTACTCACAGTTGGTCCAATGACTAATGTGAAAGGAGTCACTTTTAGTAATGAACCTACAGAGACTCTGCTGTTCCGCACAGCTCTGCTATTAGTTTTCTTGTTGTTTTTTTGCATCTTTTTAGTCATTGTTTTGATTTTATAATTTGCAGCTTTAATTTTTATAATATGGAACATAGTAGAGCAGCTACACATATTTCCGTCACAAGTTGGTAGCGACCAAAAATGGAGCAAAAAAGAGGGATTCCCATGTTGTGCTACTTTCTACTCTATTGTATGTTAGAGGCAAATAATGCATTTTGCACTACATTTATCTTAAAGCTTTAGTTACTTGTTGTTTTAAAAAAATATATATATATTACTTTAAAAGGACATATTCCTGTTATTTACTGCTATTATAAGTACAAGAACTCACAGCTTTTAATAAACAGCTGTAGTTCTTGATTGATGTTTGTGTCACGTTGCTGTAACTTAAAAATACTAATCAACTCTTACCTCTTTATTATGCATTAAGGTACTAAGCAGCATACAAAGTAACTATAATAAGCGCCCCAGCTGCAACATTTAAGTGATATACGACAATATGAATGAATAATTATAATTCAATTATAATGTGCTTGTGAGTATTTTTAGTTTTGGTACTTTGATGCTGGTACTTTTGTACTTTTACTTCAATATATTTTGAAAGCTGGGCTTTTTTCTTGTTTTACTTTGGAATATTTTTACACAGCAGTATTGCTACAGTTCCTGATGTCAAAGATTTAAATACTTTTTCCACCACTGGTCTGCTAATGTGTAAATAGTGATTTTTGTGCCAGCATGTCAACCAGATCAACTTTATAGTGACAATGTATGTGCTGTGTGTAGCGTGTAGACAAAGAGCACACCAAGTTCAATCAAAATAAATATACATTTCCAGTAGCTTTAATGGTCAAATAACAAACAGCTACAAGCTACACTTAGAGATTTTATATATTAAAATATATATTTATTTTATTATAAGACCCAAAAAAAGGGAAAAAAAAGAAAATCGTCGCTCATATATGTGATAAAGTCTCAACAACTGAGCATTTTGATATGTTACAGTTTACATGATACATGCAAATCAATATATTGAAAATGATGGCACAGTTTTATCAATGCACAGCTACAATAATCAACAGAAAGATGAAGGTGCAAATCAATACCTACTGAAACGATTTTCGGTAAAAATCGAGTCTATGTGTGATCAGTCTGACAACACATCATTCTGGCGTTCTGAGCTGAGCAGCTAACTGCCCACAGGATGTCAATAATGCCCAGTTTCACATGTTTTTCTTACATAAAGGAGGCCACTTCTTCAAGTGAAAGATACAAACAGATGCATACATGAAAAATACTGCAGGTAACTATAGTAGTACTGAGACATATTTGGTATTTAACTGATTCAATTAATTAGCAGAAGTGTTGGTGATTTTTTTTTCATGCAAAAATGCCAGTGCCTCTAGCTTTAAAATGAAAAACCATAGGTTAACGTTAAAAATAAACTGAACACATTTGGGTTTTGAACTGAGATGAGTAAAGCTGAATCCATAATTTGAATATGTCAGCTTGACTTTGTGGATATTTTATTGAGCAAGCAAGTCATGGATTAATCATTAATGACAATGATTGTTATCAGCAACCATAAGCTGTAATCTCAAGACATTTCAGCTCGTGCTCTCACCAGGTCCTGCTCTTTGTGTGACACAGTTCAAACTCACAGTCCTTGTGTGTAATAACGTTGATATGAAAATTCAGGATTTTTGCATGAGCCACGATCAAGTCACGCTCCGACTGTGACAGACATTTTCAAAGCACGGGTTCAAAGGACGCCTTAAAGCTTTGTTTACGAGCTGCAGACAAATAATTCAGAACAATGCAGCAGTCAAAGGACAGGCAGGCCAGAGGCTGCTTATTTGTCATGGTGAACAAACCTTTGTAACAATCATTATGCGCACACCCTGGCAACGGGGCAAAGTCTAAATGCTGTTAACAACCTGCAGAGAGGGCGAGAACATGGCAGCCTCAGTTTATGCAAAGAACATTTTATATTGTTGTGGGTTTTTTTTTTTTTTTTTGCATTGCTGACTAACAGCTACCAGGCAACTGCTGAGAGCCGAGTGTATCCCGCTCCTCAGTTTTAGAGTTTTCAGGGTGCACAGAGGCGTTTTGCACAGCCTGCTCCCTCTCTAGTCAGAGGGCCTGGCAGCAGGACGGCAGAACAGCCTCCTCTTTGGAAGGAAGGAGGTTAGGATGATGAGTTGGCCCTCGCTGGAGTCAGATCATCAGCAGCCGTTCCACACCCCGCTCCCTTTCCGCTGCCAGCAAGACATACCCAGCTGAGACACACAGCGCTTCAGCTGCCTCGTACAACACGCTCTTTTATCCGTAGCCTTCATTTGAAATGCTAAGAGAGGCGCAACAGGAGGAAGCGTCTCGCCTCGGATCAAAGAGCTTCTTTGATTTGCCCTCTTTTCCTTTTCTCTCGTTCTCTCTGTGCGTGCGAGTGCAGGCATATTCATAAAGCAGGTGATTGCCATCCCGTACTCCAGATAAATTTGTGTCTTCTGTCTCCCGTCTCCTCCTCCTTACTCTAATTGCTCGCCTTTCTTGTTCCACCTTGATCCTCTTTCTCCTCCTCCTCCCCCTCGTCACGCTGCTAAAACACAACTATTGTAATATTGCAGTAGTGCAGAGATAAAGGCGCCGTTCCCTGCTTTCATTCTGCTCCCTGTGCTTTCTCTGTTACACCATCTCTCCAACCCCCACCCTTTAGATAACAGGAGCCATCCTGCTGGCGGTGGGAGTATGGGGGAAGTTGATGCTGGGCCCGTACATCTCTCTGATAGCCGACAACTCCACCAACGCCCCGTACGTCCTCATCGGCACCGGGACCGTCATCATTGTTTTCGGCCTGTTCGGATGCTTCGCCACCTGCAGAGGAAGCCCATGGATGCTGAAGCTGGTGAGCGGCTGCGGGAGGGAAGGGAGGGTTTGGGGTGTTGTGTTGCAGAGAGAGTGTTGTAGATGCTGATTAATTAGCCTCAGGTCACATGATACAGGGAATAATGGTTGACCTCTATCCCGCAGAGAGGGATGAGAAATCCAGTAGATGCTTCAGGGCACTTTGTTCAGTTAATGGTGGTCAAGTGAGTGTGTTTGAGTGCGTGTCTGTGTTGCAGTGTGCAACCATAGGCAAATGATGTTCCTCTAAGGCAGAGGGTTTTCATGCAAACTATGCAAATCTCCCTTCTCTCCGTTAGTATGCCATGTTCCTGTCGCTCGTCTTCCTCGCTGAGTTAGTGGCGGGGATTTCCGGATTTGTGTTTCGCCATGAGGTCAGTCGACAAATCACAGTCAAACAATTATTAACACTAAAGCTGCGTGAAGTGCTCTCATCCTGTTAATGCGAATGATTGTGTGCTTGCATGCTGCAGATAAAGGGAACCTTTCGCAGAACGTACACTGACGCGGTCCTGAACTACAACGCCGAGGATGAGGCGAGCCGTGCTGTCGACAACTTGCAGCACAAGGTGAGTAACTGTGACACGACAGTGAGTCCAGCCATAAACGAGAGAAAGAATAATTAAAAGATTTATTTGACACAGCATGCATGATAAGGAAGAGTTGAAGAAATATGTGTTTGGCGATTAGATCCCATCGTGGAACAATCCTTTTAGGGAGATAGTTTTGCCACGAGCTGTACAGAAATCTCCCCTTGATGGAGTGTAGAGATGCTGGTGGTGAGGAATGATTCTGAAGATCTGGAAGGATGCGATGTGGATCAGGACTGCTGATGAGCTCAGTGGAAGGATCCATTAGTGCTGGAGGTGGAGGACGGTTTCATCTGAAATGACAGCAGTAGAGAAAAGAACAGTTTTACCATTTGACAGCAGTGAAATGAATGAATCGCGGATAAACGTTATGGCAAAATCTGATTGGTTTATCTGTGGAAAGAACGCCCTCAGTCAGCTGATGTGATTAGTTGTGAGTGTGAAGAGACAAGTGTTCCCCCCTGCAAGTTTTGTGATTTTTCATGGCTTTTCAACATTTAACAAGGTCTTTTAATTTGTCTTTTTTTATAGAAGAAGAATTTACGAAAATAGATTATTTTGTGTCAAAGTGAAAAGAGATTTCTACAAGTAATGTCAATTAGTAGAAAGAGTAAAAGAAAATAAATGAATCCACAACTAGCTGGACTTGAAATGGGCTGTTGAGCACTTTTGCAAAGAAGAATGAGGTACGGTGGACACCAAACACAAACACACCATCCCCACCTTGAAGCATGGTGGTGGCAGCATCATGATGTGGAGAGGGAAATCCTGTAGAAACAAGTTGCTGCCATCTGCAAGAGAACTGCGACAAAGGATTTGTTGTTATTCAGCAAGACAATGACCTGAAGGATGCAGTCAAAGCTACACAGAAAGACAATAAGGTAAACCTTCTGGAGTGGCCGAGTCAGAGCCTAGACTTTAATCCAATTGAGAATTTGTGGCTGGACTTGGAAATGAATCTCCACTTACGATCCCAATGCAACCTTGAGCAGTTTTTTAAAGAAGAACTGAGAGAAACTGCAGTGTCCAGATGTGCATCCTATCCACACAGTGCTGTAATTCATGAATCTCAATGCTGGAATTTTGGCCAAAGGTGCATCTACCAAATACGGAGGGGTTGAATACTTGAACAATCACTTTTTGAACATTTTATACTTTTTCTTAATTGACATTACTTTGTAGAAATCGCTTTTCACTTTGACATGAAAAAATCTTTGTCATTTTTTTTTGTCAAAAAGCCTAATTAAAATGACTAAGATTCAGTTTTGAAAAGCAATTAAAGGAGATCACTTCAAAGTGAGGCAAATATTTTTTCTAGGCACTGTAAGTACATAGTGTATGCCTGAGATGTTGAGATGGTGTTTCTGATTGAACAGGTAATGATGACATTACCAACAAACCAAAACACAATGCATGTTTTAACAGATAATAATTTTAATAAAAAGGCCAAAACCACCACTAAATAATGTAAAAACACTTACAAGTTGCATCTGTGTTGCCAAACCTGATATAGCCTACCGCTGTTCCATAGACCTCGAAAAAACTGTTGGAAATGTGCAGTGTTGTTTATTTTTTGTGGCTCCAGCACCCACTGCTGCCATTGATGTGCATGTGATGTGTATTTATCAGAGGCAGGAACAAATGCTGAATTCATTCTTGTTTAACAAACATTTGCTGAGATTTTTCTAGGAAATTACTGAGCTTTTCAAAAATGAAACTGTATTGTGACCCATTTTTTAAAGATTTACAACTTCACTAGGAACATATGGGCCTGGGTCTGACAAAGGAGAGGGTTTGGAGATTCAGCTTTGAAGGAATTCTGATCTGCTCTGTTTTTCCATTTCTGCCTGTTTTCAGCTGCGTTGCTGCGGAGTTTATAACTACACCAGTTGGTTTGCCAGTGTGTATTACCCCTCCAATGGCATTCCTGCCAGCTGCTGCTTTAACTCCTCCGACTGCAACCCAGAAGACCTCCGCAATGCAACTCTAGCCCCGAGCAAGGTCTTCCACCAGGTCAGTGGTTTTATCCTATTCTCCTACTTCCCACCTGTCTGCTGCTTGCTACTTTATGACTCTCGCCAGTTAGAACGTGACTTTATTTACATCCAGCACGTCCTTATATACCTTTCTTAAATTATCTCTCTTCTCCACACACTAACAACTGCCTCAGATACTCGCCCAGACACCCATCTTGCCCCTAATTTGCACATTTAACATGTCCATGTACCCTCTGCGGACTAACCTGCCCCCTGTGTTTCAGGGCTGCTTTGAGCTGGTCACTTCATTCATGGAAACCAACATGGCCATCATCGCGGGAGTGACGTTTGGGATCGCCTTTTCACAGGTGTGTTCAAGTTTTGCATGAGAGGGAGAACATGTGTAGTGTATAAATAAATCATTAACACACTGATATATGGACATGTGGTAACTGAAAACAAGATAATTGATAAGAAAATCCACAGATGCTGTTCATATTTAATTTTCTGTCTGTCTTTCAGCTGATTGGCATGTTGCTGGCCTGCTGTCTGTCCAGGATCATCACAGCCAATCAGTATGAGATGGTCTAGCTGATGTGACGTGGCAGGTGAGAATTAAATCCACTCCGGCCAATATCTTACACTGACATTGGATAAAAATCATTGTGGTGTCTCCAAATGATTTTTTTTTTTTTTTTTAAATCTCACACTGTGAAATCTTCTCTTGTCTTTACAGGGAGATGAAGAGAAGAAAAAGATGAAGAGTCTTGACACATGACCAGAGTAAATTCCCACTATCACACACCTGAATTGGAATTTACCTCCCTCCTTCTCTCTGCCTGTGATCTTAATGTAATATCTTAATGTATCTTACTGTAAAGCACCATTCCTTGACTCACTGCAGTTGCTTCAAAGCTTTCAATGCCACGCGTCATCACATCGCCGCTTGACGTAGAAGTTGCTCATTAGCACATATCTCGGATCAGTACAGCCTACAGCGAGCGGGTAGACCGGAGCCGTCTGATTGGACAGCGGCGTTGGTCTCAGATAGGCGACTGGACGCAACTTGGCTTCTCAGTTGGTTGCAGCATGCTCCGCCGAGCGTCATCAGAAGACCACTGCGCATCTTTGTACAGAATGACATTACTAAAGCTTGAAAGTAATTCTTTATCAGCTAGGTTTAGTTTTGCATTTGACTTTGCTATTGCTCATCCTTGTATATTCCTACGGTTGTGACATTTTGTGAACTGATTACACGTATCAAGGGGGATATTTTAAGTTTATATGAAAAATAGGGAAACTGACAAAGGAGAGAAAAGGGAGAGTTGCTGTAGAGTATTTTTACCTAAAGGCAAACAGTATTTTTTTGTCCAAAATATTGAATTTAAATGAATTACAAATTATGACTATTCTAAGATGAATATCCATTTAAGCTTTAATCTGGAATAAATACACAACGACACACCAAAAGTGAATCTTTGCTGTGGAACTCCCACGGTAGCTTAAAATAAAGCTCCATTCACAGCCTTTAAAATCACTTAAAATGATACTTTACGCTATGAGATCTGTTTTATGAGGAACAGAAACAAACACGTGAGGTCATTTGTGGCGTCTGAAGGCCCGGTCACACCGACTGCCATCAACAGAGCAATAAACAGTTTATGACGTCACAGGTTTTTCTTTGTTAAAATTGTTTTTACTTTGATAAAGGAGGCTTAAATAAATCTGCAACACAGTTAACATAAAAAGCACAGTTTCCTACGTTTTGTACTCTTTGACCCTTAAAGGTCAGCACTCACAGCTGATATGTGTGATTATACATATGTCAAGACCAGAGTTAAAATCCTTTCTGGTCATTGATTATTAAAAACTCATCTCTGTCTATTAAATTTACTTATTTAGAGGTTTTCTATTACAGTAATCCTTTCCTGCCCTTAAATGGCTTGTATGTATCTCTACACTGTTGCTCCCTTTCTTCAGCTTAACATCCACTCTTTGCTTGCAGCTCGAGCACACCAGCTCACACTCTACTCAAACACTGTAAAACTACTCTACGCTACACAGTGGCAAGTTGTAATACTTACAGCCACGCGTTTGATCTGAAAACTGATTCTACACGCTCAAGGTTAAAATGTGAAGCCGTGGTGTTGACTCCCCGTGTTTCATATGATTTGTCTTCAAGCATATAAAGAACTAAACAACATGTAGACATGTTAACATGGCACAAAAAAAACTTGATTTTCACAGGAAGGGAACTTTTTTTTTTTTTAAATCACGCAAATCCACTTCGCCTCCACAATTTATTTAGCCATAAAAAGTTTAAATGCATGTGTGACCGGGCCTTTTCCAGCTTTCAATTAAGCCTCTAGTGCTTACTAATCTTTACAGTTAGCATGCTTCAAGTTTTTATGAGGTGTCAACAAAGGCAAAACTGTTCATGGCTGTTTAGAGAGGCCACACTGTGGAGGGGCGAGATGCAATGAATCAAACGAATGGTAATAGCAATTTCGGACGGTCTCTCCGCAAAGAAGTCGATAGCGTTGCACCTGCTTGTCAGATGAAAAGAATGAAAAGGAAAGATTGTGACACACATATAAGTGTGAAGTGTAACTGTCAGTTTTGGAAAGTTACATTAGTGTCACATATAACCAGTTCTGATGTCGGTTAGAGGAAAGTGTGCACAGTTTTGGATGCTGCTTGATGATCCAACAAGTACTTCATGTAAAAAAATACTGACACCTTAGTCAAGTTTTACTACTTGTCTTTCTGTTTTTATGTGAAAGCAACAGTCAGTATTTAGCTTTAAAGACACCGGCTGAAAATCTTGTTTTCGCTGATCTCGAGTGGTGAAAATAAGACAGATTCAGCAAAGCAACACTTTTCAGCCCGAGGTGGTCGTATCAAATCATTAGGGCCATGAATTATTTTCTCCTGGTTGGAAATTAATGCCAGCGGTTTGTTACAAAGAGAGCAGTTGACATTAGCAGGACTCAAACGGTGTTCACTTAGTATTTACAGTATTCTGTGTAGTGCATCGACATGCCGCCATCACCGTCATCGTCATCATCTGTAGATATGTATTGGAAATGTAATTTATATGATGTAATGTTTCTCATTCTAATATGCTAATCAGTATCAATGTCGTGTCACGGTTTTGAATCCACACTTTGTGCTGTTAACCTGTATTTGTTTAATAGTTTATAGGAAACTCGCACTGAAAAAAATAATTGTGGCCGATGTTTTGTTGAGAGTAACGCGCAACATGTAGCTGTTTCAATTTAGCTGTATATTTATTCTGGTTTGGTTGGCATTGGGTTTACAGTTTCACCAAGTGATTTTCTATCTCTCTTTCAGTGTGCGAGTGAGCGAGCGTGTGCGGTTTCGTTTCTTTATCTGACTATAACCTTGAGCGTGTCTGTTTGTTGTGTGGCGAGTGTCAGCGAGAGTGAGCGTCTAGACTTTGTGTATCCTGTTGTATTCAACTTTGGTCAGTATTCAGTTGTGGCTTTTTAAAAATTTATTGCTTTTAAAGCTGTACATTTATTTAGTGAATGTATGTTTTCCAGCACTCTGAAACTTAATTTACCTTCTCCGAACTGATATTGTCCTGTAAATACTAAATTGTAATACCATCCAGCTTACACATGGGGTCACTAGACACTCAAGAAGAATTGCACCGTGCTGTCTACTATTGACTAAGTCACCATCAGTGGTCTTATTATCAATAAATATACAGAATAACACTTTTGTTTGGCGTTTATTCATTTCTCCTGTAGTTTTAGATATCAGAATGTTTGGTTTTTGCTTAGCTGTGTGTGCACAGTGATATTTTTGTCAAAACTTAACTCTATTTCAGTGCTGACCTCGCTAATAAAAAGAAAGGTACAACCACCATGAGACATTTTCCACAAAAACCTAAGAAAACAGACCAGGTGGCAAGTCATCTGGGCATCATGTGTGACCAGAATAAAAGAAACACATTACCTGAATACAGACTGCGTAAGAAGACTGGTCAAAAAATGCAAACCTCCCAGAGAAAACCTGAGAAAATCCCCCCAAAAAAAGGTTTTCAAAATTAAATGTCAAGATGCTTGGAAAAAACATCATGAAATTTGTGTTAAAATTTCACATAATATTAAGTTGATGTGATTATTATTCCACCCCAAGTCTTTAATGTAACGCTTGCAACTTTAAAGGTTATCTAATCAGCAAAAAATACTTTTTTTTTTAAATCTTGCAACCGTGACTTCAAATTTCAGTGCCTATAGAAAGTACTCAACGTGTCATATAACATGACTCACCTAATTCAACACAGCTGCAGCCAGTTGACGCTAGAAGTCACACATTTAGTGAATGTAGATCATCTGATTGCAGTGAATGTGTCTCAAGTGATTGTAGCATAAAGACACCCGTATATCTGAAAGGTTCAGGTGCATCAGTCCTCCTGGGTATATCTGCACCATGAAGAACATTTGAAGCAAGTCTGTGAAAAGGTTATTGAAAACCATAGGTTATGGGATGGAAAGAAAAATTGTCCAAACCACTAAATATCCATTGTTAATGGTTAAATCTGTCATTAAGAAATGAAAAGAATATGTTGCATGTAAGGCTGCAAGGTGTCGCAGTTGGTAGCACTGTTGCCTCGCAGCAAGAAGGTCGCGTCCCGGTGGAGTTTGCATGTTCTCCCCGTGCAGCGTGGGTTCTCTTCGGGTTCTCTAGCTACACAGTCCAAAAACATGTTGAGGTTAATTGGTGATTCTAAATTGTCCGTGGGTGTGAATGTGAGTGTGCTTGGTTGTCTGTCTATAAGTGTAGCCCTGTGATAGACTGGTGACCTGTCCAGGGTGTCCCTGCCTTCACCCTGAATCAGCTGGGATAGACTCCAGCCCCCCCGTAACCCTAGTGAAGATTAAGTATAGGTCATGGACGGATGGATGGACTTGAATTCTTTTCGTGGCCCAAAGATGTAAAGTTATCCAGTATTTCATTAGAGAAAGCGGTGTATAGATGATGGATGGATGGATGTTGCATATCCGTACAAGAAAGAGACTAGAGACAGAGGCCATCAAGACACCTATGACTGCTCTGAAGGAGTTACAAACTTCAGCAGCTGAGATGGGAGAGACTGCACACAGTAACTGTTGCCTTTTCTTCATCTTCACCTGCAAAAGCTTTATGTGAGAGTAGCAATGAGAAAGACACTTTAAAATAAATACATGTCAATTAGATTTCACCAGACTCTGAAGTCAACTAGACGACTGTTCTGGTCTGATGAGACCAAAGTTGATCTTTCTGTCCATCACACTAGATGTGTTTAGCAGACACCATCATCACAGACACACCAGCCCCACTCCGAGGCATGGCAGTGGTGGTAGCATCATGATGGGGGGTATTCGCTCCCATCTTCAAAGGCGGTGTGCTGCAACTTCACCTCTGTTTTCTTCTAGTAGGATTATAGTTATTCTGTCTGGCAGAGGAAGAGGTGTATGGGCAAAATCAAGTATTGCACTTTACAGCTGGGTCACTTAATTTGGAAAGCTGACTTTCCTAAAAAAAAAATTGTTGCAGCAATTAAAAAGTGTTCATTTCAGAGGAATCAGATGATTTAAGTGAATCTCACTTAATCCAGAGACATTCATTTTACTTGTTAACTGAATTCGGATAAACGTAATTCAATTACCATTTGCAGCAATTAATTTAAGTTGCTCCAACCACTCCCTCGCTCTCTCTCTCTCTATCTCTCTCTCGCTCTCTTTTATTTTTTTTTTCCTTCCAGCGTGCTAAATGGAGAAGGTAAACGCATCAGTCGTGAGTTCACTCCTTCATCGTGC